CCTGCATATATGTCAGTGTACCCATATGTGCAATACTCACAGAGGCCAGAAGAGGGTAGTGGATCCCCTGGAACTGGAGTTACAAATGGTTGTTAACCACCATGTGGGTGCTGGAAACCACACCTGGGTCCTCTGCAAAAGCAGCCTGTGTGCTTACCCACTGAAACATTTCTCCAGTCCCTGGGTGCCAGCATATTTCACATAATCCTTTGGTGACCATTTCTCTAGTCAGTACAAAAACTGTCACTTGGACAGCATATGAAAATTTGAGGGAAGACTATGGACTCGGCAGACAAAACTCCTCCTATGGTTTAGAAACTCAATCTCTAAGGTTACAGTATAGCCTCTTCAGTTTTATCTTCCTCTGTTCCCCACCACTCAATCTTCCCACTATTCTCTTCCTTATACCTCTCATCACTCCTCTAGCCAAACACAATACTGCAGGCTTCCCTCCTGTTCAGATGTGGGCCGCAGCCGTCAAGTGATAAATGTTGGGTCATTGTCATAAAAGAAGAAGTTCAGTATATGCTGTGTGATTGTGTGACTAACTACTCTTGGCTTTTTGTGTTCAGGTGTTTTATATGGCTACTTCCCGCCAGCTGAGACGTTTGGATTCTGTCACCAGGTCCCCAATCTACTCTCACTTCAGTGAGACTGTTTCAGGGTTGCCTGTTATCCGTGCCTTTGAGCAACAGCAGCGATTTTTAGCACTCAGTCATCTGGGGATTGACACCAATCAGAAATGTGTCTTTTCCTGGATTTTCTCCAACAGGTGAGGCTTCCCCTGAGTATTTATTCAAATGTGTGTTTTAGGGTTTTCCTTGCATGGGAGAGCAGGCATGCTCTATAAGTAGAAAGAAGAAAGCATGAGCTTTGGAGTCAGAGACTGGTTCTTCTTGCCAGCTCTGCATTTACCAAGCTAGATGAATTGCCTTGACCTCTCTAAGGAAAATCTCAATGTCTTTGTTTTTACAATGATTAGGATACAGTCTATCTTAGTTGTAGTGGAAGTCACATGACTTTTGTGAAACTTTGATAACTCAGGTATTATACAAGTACTGAATAAATTGAAGATTATCTGTTTGATTTCCTGAGACATGCTATGAGTCGCCATAGGCACCATATTCTTTTTAGGATGATGAAAGAAGTAGAAGTTGAAGAGAGAAGAGTTGGGAATTTTTAAGTAAAAGCATTAATGACAAAAAAATGAGGTCACCTAAGATGGATCCCTAAGCAGATTGCACATCATTAGACCCTGGCAAGCAGTATGCCCTTGAAGGAGAACAGTCTTTGGGGGAAAGGAAAATTCTTCAGTGGCTTCCAAAATATCTTGAGATGTTAAAGGGGACGAAGGTAATGGTGGCCAATATTATTTGGAGCACTGAAAGATCAGAGACTGGATTTCTTAGAGATTTCTTTTTTAAAGGCATGTAAGTAGATCCCACTGAATCCCCATTGTAAAGTACATATTTATTTGTACACATGCTAGAATTATTGGTACAAATTTAATTAAATGTATTTTATTTGGAGAAGTCCATTTTTGTAAACTATGTTAAATTATGCACTCTTTGGTTCTTTACAAAGATCTAATGTACCTCCCTGTAATGACCTCACACCTAAGTTCCATCTACCCCTAGATTTACTCCACTTTCAGAAATACTGAAGTAAGCCAGGCACAGGTCTTTAATCCCAGCACTCAGGAGGCAGAAGCAGGTGAATCTCTGTGAGATCAAGGTCAGTCTGGTCTACATAGTGAAGCCAGCTGGAGCTACAGGGAGACCCTGTCTCAAAACAAACAAACAAACAAACAAACAAAGCACAACACACCACAACAAAACAAAACACCCAAACTGAAATAAGATGGTGCCTTCCTGTGGCATGTGTTTTTAGCTATCTTATGGATTCATGATGCCATTGCTTTCTTGTACTCACTTAAAATGCAGGTGCTGAAATTCCATCATCAGTCCCTGAATTATAGTCCCCTAGGGAAATGTCCCAAAATATTTTACATGAATTTGTAACATTATACCTTTGTGTGGGTTTGTTGTTGTTGTTGTTGTTTTGGATTTTTTGTTTTGTTTTTGTTTATGTTGAGTGCTGAGATTAAAGGCATGCTCCACCATGCCCAATGTTACATTATACTTTTAACAACTGCCCTAGATAATTTTTATAATTTGACAATTTTGGGGGATATTGCATTGTAAACTCCTCTAGAACCTTTAAAATGCTATTTATTTCCTTAAACAATACATTTAATGGATTATTAAGAGTTTAAGTATTCCTGGGGCTGGAGAGATGGCTCAGCGGTTGAGAGCACTAGCTGCTGTTTCAGAGGACCTGGGTTTGATTTCCAGCACCCACATGGCAGCTAACAACCATCTATAACTCCAGTTCCATGGGAATCCAGTGCTCTCTTCTGACCTCCCCAGTGCTCTCTTCTGACCTCCATGGTCATTGCATGACACAGGTACATTTACAAACATGCAGGCAATACAATCATATACAAAAAATAAAAATAATAAAAAATTTAAAAAAATTTTATTGAGCTTTTTAAATTTCATACAACAGTTCTTAATCAAATTTAGACCCCTACCCCATCCATGCCCCGCATCCCCCCACCAGACTTCATGCATTCTGCCATACATGTTAAATCCTATCCAGTGAAACATTTGTACCCAAATGTCCTTCATAGAATATTTTCTTAAAAGAATTTAAATATTCCTAAGTCAAAGTGCAGTAGCTCCTAAGAGCACAGTATACTAATTCAAGCCATCTCAAAATGTCCTTTGAGCCCCTAAGTTCTGGTAGAGATCCGTGATATGTCTCTTTCTGGTTCTCTTGCCCTACAGGTGGCTTGCAATTCGCCTGGAACTGGTTGGAAACCTGGTTATCTTCTGTTCAGCCTTGCTTCTGGTTATTTATAAAAATACCCTAAGTGGGGACATGGTGGGCTTTGTTCTGTCCAATGCCCTCAATGTGAGTCTGAAAATTGGGAATTTGGCTAAATGGAATGCACTTATTCTTAGGAGTCTAGAGTGTACTGTGGAGCCCATGCCTTTTAATCTTTTCTAATCCAGAAGGACTAGAGAAGACTGTGCTCAACCCTTGGTTCCATCTTTTCCCATGGTCATAGCCCTTATACCTTGTTTAAGTAAGCACCAGTACCATTTGGAAAAAAGGACATAAATGTTATTGTCCTTATGATTTAAGAAGACAATTTTGTATGTTTCTACTTGTTTCTTATCTCTGCCTCTTTGGTTGGTTCTAGTCAAAAGAGATAACACATTTTTTTCCTCCAGAATATAGCAGTAATCAGAAAGTCCTTTAGGAAAATAACTCCTCCTGAGTTTGTTCTTATATCACAGAACAACTGAAGCTAGCTGTAATAAAGAGAGTTGGACAAAAATATATATGAATCTCACTGCAGCACCCCGGCACAGCTGGGGAATAAAATGCTGATGTGATTATTTCCCAGCATCTGAAATGGTGGCTGGCATTACAGTAACTTTTCAATAAAGTTGATCATCTTTCTGTGCATCTTTTTCAACTAATATTTTACAGGTTTACATAGCCGTAGATGTGCTTTATATAGTGCTGTCTTCATTAGAAATTGACGAAGCTCAGTGTGATCATGAAAGAGCACCCAAAAGGATTGCTATGTATCAGAGTCACTTGGTTCTTTGTGTCACTGCCTCTTTATCCCCTGGGACAGTCAAGGCAAAGAGTCAGGATACCATTAGATTGAACCAAAACTAAATATTCAAGTACATATGGTTCAACCACATAATGTTGTTACTCTTGGTCTCCACAGTCTTGCCCTCTATATTGTATGGATTCCTCTCTCTAAACATATTCACTCTACAAAAACTCATGTCCATAAAGAAAGATATCTGAGTAATCCCTGGCTTCTAGACTGGCCTAGATCATGAAAAATCTTTACTAGCGGTTTGATGCATTTGTGTAATGGCTGGGCGGCATCAGGGGTTTGTTGGTGTCAAGGACAAGGGTTCATGTGGATGACCCACCTTGATAGCTAAGAATGAGTGAGATCAGAGTGAGAAAGCAGCTTTTTGGTAGGTCTTTTCCTGCCCTGTGTTGTTTTCATGCTCTTCCCCATTCTACAAACAGCACTAGGCTTATGAGCAGACTATTTGAATCCTGGTCCCACTTTACTAAGAGCCAGCCTCTCCAACCCCAGTTTTAGCCCTGAACTAGTCAAAGCTTATGTTTCCCTTCTTATGAGCACCACACATCTGAGCAGTCTATGGTTATTCAGCTATTCAGTGCACTGGTCTCAATTCTCCTCTAAGGAAATAAGAATTATCTCTTTTGTACTCTTCCTTGGGCTCTTGTAGAGCCCATCATGGTGCTGAATTTAAAAAGAAAGCCCTCTTGCACTGAGGGACGTTTGGAGACAGTAACTTGACTTGATAAGCCTTAACATCAATGGCAGAATGCATGAAAACCAGTGGGGGGCTATGGAAAGGTGCTAATGGGGAAGGGGGTATGAAGATGATTAAGATGTTCTGTATGAAATCAATAAAAATACTTTTTAAAAAAGGAGCTGGGTGTGGTGGCACACGCCTTTAATCCTAGCACTTGGGAGGCAGAGGCAGGTGGATCTCTGTGAGTTCAAGGCCAGCCTGGTCTACATGGCGAGTTTCAGGACAGCTGGGGCTACAGGGAGACCCTGTCTCAAAAAAGACCAAAAAAAAAAAGCCCTCACTTGACCTTGACCTTGCGATGTGACTAGCTGGGTTAGTTTCTGAATCTGAGTAGTTTATATTCTCTCTCTCTCCCTCCCTCCCTCTCTAGATCACACAAACCCTGAACTGGCTAGTGAGGATGACTTCAGAAACAGAAACCAACATTGTGGCTGTTGAGCGAATAAATGAATACATAAATGTGAAAAATGAGGTAAGGAAAAATTAGAGAAACTCTGGAATAAAGTCCATGCAACTTGAAGGCATGTTCTTGTCTTCTTTTTATATGTTATGTGGATTCACAATGTTCTTTTCAAGTTTCCCTTGCTCCAACTCAAATAACTTAATTTCTTCAAACTTAAGGTCTTAAAATTGTTCTCAAAATGCACCAAGTTAAATAAATGGTGGTGTCATTTTGGAGATCCAAAGAGCAACCTTGTAGGGCAGGGTTTCTCTGTTGAATAGAGTTAGAACCTTCCAGAAAAACAAACCCAGTTTGTTCAGGTGATGGGACACTGCTACTCTTCTGTTTTGTGACATGACTCCCATAACAACTGGCTGAGTTGCTACGTGTACAACAAACACTTCTTACCCGTCCCCTTTCTAGGCACCCTGGGTGACTGATAAGAGGCCTCCATCAAATTGGCCAAGCAAAGGTGAGATCCAGTTTAACAACTATCAAGTACGGTACCGACCTGAGCTGGATCTGGTACTAAAAGGGATCACTTGTGACATCAAGAGCTCTGAGAAGGTAGGTGATCAAGAACAGGCCTGTCCTGGAGGCCTGTGATCAGAGAACAGTTGGGCACAGAATGGAGGACAGCAGGGCTCCAGGCCTTCATCATTTGGGTGGAGGGAGCAGGTCAGGACACTTTCTATACTTTGTGGGCATGTAAGAACACAATGAGAAGGTTAGATATCAGCAAGAGATATCCTGCCTTCCTGCCAGGGTACAGTGTGTGGCAAGGAGCTCAGGGAAGAAAGGAGGGAGCATCAGGCCTTGGGGAGGGACTATGGAGAATAGCAATGTGGAGGGTCGTCCCTAAGGGGACATGACCTACCTTTCCTCCTCGTCTAGAGGTCAGTACCCTCCTATAGTGCTCTTGTTCTCCAAGGATTTGGGGTCTAATGACGGAAGATAAATAAAAATAATCTGGGCAAGGATGTTGATGTTCAAATTAAGATATAGTTCTCTGCTGGTGGCAAGCCCGATTCTTCCCTTTCTTCTACTTTAAATTTTTAAAAATACAAGAGTCAGTTCTCTCCTTTCACCATTTGGGTTCTGGAGCTCTAACTCAGGTCATCTGCTTAATGGCAAGTGCCTTTACCTCATGGGCCCCCTTTTCTCTACTTTTTAAAGTGCTCTTTAAAATTTATTTTTATTTTATGTATATGAGTGTATTGCCTGCATGTATGTAAGTGCACCCCTGTCATACAGTGCCCATGGAGGTCAGAAGAAGGCATCAGATACCCTGCAACTGGAGTTATTGATGGTTGTTAGCTGCTATGTAGGTGCTGGTAACAAAACCTGGGTCCTCTGCAAGAGCAAACAGTGTTCTTATCCACTAAACAATAGCCATTTCTCTGAGCCAATCCCCTTACTTTTTTTTTTTTGAGACAGGGTCTCACTATGTAGCCATGGCTTGGTCTGGAACTCACTGTGTAAACCAGGCTGACCTCAAACTCATAGCAATCCACCTGCCTCTGCCCCCTGAGTGCTGGTATTAAAGGTATGTGCCACCACACCTGGCTCCCTTCCCTCGATTTTGTTGTTTTTTTTAGAAAAATAAGCTAGGATTTCCAATATTCTTTGTAAAAATATATCAGACGATTTGTCCATTTCTAACAATCACTCTCATATTCAACCAGCAACCATTGATGAGGTTGCATGGGAGAGCCATCTTTTTCTCCCAACAAAACTAAAGGCCATTTAATGTCATAGAAATGCAGTGCCTTTTACTGCCTAGGGTTTTGAATGTATGGGCTAAATATTTTTCTCCAAGAATTTCATGTTGAAATAAGATACAAATGGACTATATTCACAGATTGGTGTGGTGGGCAGAACTGGAGCTGGGAAGTCATCCCTGACAAACTGCCTCTTTAGAATCTTGGAGTCTGCAGGTGGCCAGATCATCATTGATGGAGTAGATATTGCTTCCATTGGTCTACATGACCTTCGAGGGAAACTGACCATCATTCCCCAGGTGAGCTCTAGAACTTACTTGGCACACACAGTGGGAAAGCTTGTTTTGCCGGAAACATATTGATGTCTGTTGAATCAGCAATACAATTCCTGCAGTCTATCCCAGTATATTAGTTACTTTTCTTTTTGCTAAATACCTGACAAGAAGTGAGTTGAGGGGGAGGATAATTTGGCTCACAGTTTAAGAAGGGATGCGGTCCGTCAGGATGGGCAAGACCTAGCAGCCTGAATGTGAGGCAGCTGCTCACATTGCATCTTCAGTCATGCAGTAGAGAGAGATGAATGCTGGTGCCCAGCTTTCTCCTTTCTATTCAGTTTAAGACCCCGGCGCATGGACTAGTGCTGCCTACATTTAGGATGTCTTCCCACCTTGATTTACCCAATCTCAGAACTTTCTCACAAACATGCCCAGAGGTGTGTCTCCTAGGTGATTCTAGATCCTGAAAACTTGACCATCAAGATTAACTGTCACACCAGGACACCAGATTTGTTCTCTGAGACAGCACACACTGTTTCTAGAACTTGAAGTTTTGTTTTAGGAATTTGTGATGCTAGTATCTGACCAGTAGGTGGCAGCAAGACAACAGCAGTCAAATAGAGCAGATGATTATTTAGCTTTTCTGGAGCCCATCCCGGTTTGCTGAGACCTTTGCAATTAGCAGTAGCAATTTTGCTGCTGAAGCTTGAAGCCATTAAGCTTTATAGTCCCCATTTGACATGGTTAAAAGATAGAGGAGGGAATTGGCTGCCAGTTTTTGCCAGCAAGTGGAACACTTACTATATCAGCAAGAAAGACCTCTCTTTGGGTTCCCCTCTGGCCTCTACCAAGTAAGGAGTGCCACAGAGGCCTCTCTGCTCTTAGGAGGTCTATCCCTCCTCCCCTCACTGTAGCCAAGTATCTTTGGGAGTTTTTGTTTGTCTGGTGTTTGCTTAATAGTGTGTGTATGTGTGTGTGTGTGTGTGTACATGTGTGTGCACCCATATGCATGTATGCAGGCCACTGGATGCCCTCCTATTGCTGTCCATCTTATTTCCCTTGAGACAGGGTCTCTCCCTGAACCTGGAGCTCACTGTTTTTGGCTCTGCTGGCAGTCAGCAAGCTCCAGCCATCCTCTTGTCCCTTCTTCTCCCTCCCCACCAGTGCTAAAGTCATAGACCAGCTTTTTATTAAGTATTGAGGATCCAAACTCAGGTCCTCATGCTTGTGCAGCAAGCCCTCTTACCCACTGGACATCTCCGCAGCCCCCATGTTTGCTTAGTTTGATACCTTCTTTTCTTCATTCTCTTAAAAATGTAAGGTCTCAGATGACTATCTCTTTTATTTTACCTTAATCTCTCTAAGTCAGGAGTTTTTGTTTTGGGGAAGAGAGACTCTTCTCATCTTCTAAAGAGATATTGCAGCAAATTTGGAGATCCATAGGTGGATCTTCAAACAAAACAAAAGCAGCAATAAACTAAGGATTCCTCTTACTCCTGTGCTTAGCTCCCTAGCTGGCAGATACTCCCGGGCTTGGGGGATCCTTGGAGAAGCACAATCATGAGCCAGCTTCCTGCCTAAGTAGCCCATCTCAGGCCAGTCCTACCCACTTTCTGGTCCACAAAGAATGGCTGAGCCCTTTGCTGACATTAGCCATACCAGCTCTCCATTCTTTGACTTGCAGGACCCCATCCTGTTCTCTGGAAGTCTGAGGATGAATCTAGACCCTTTCAACAACCACTCAGATGAGGAGATTTGGAAAGCCCTGGAATTGGCTCATCTCAAATCCTTCGTGGCTGGCCTGCAACTTGGGTTGTCCTATGAAGTGACAGAGGGTGGTGACAACCTGAGGTAATGTCTCATAACCTACCTCCTCCACAGACAGAGAGAGGATGTGAGGGGACTACTCTTTGTGTTCCTTGTACTAGATAAGTCCAACACTGAAAATTTCACTATATAGGTCTAATTCCAAATGTGTAAAATGTTACAAAAATAGATGTGAAAGTACTTAGAAATGCCTGAAAACCTTTGTTTATTAAATGTACCCTTCGTGTGACATTACATCATGTGATCTTACAAGTCACTGTTATGGAGAAGCATAGAAAGTAGATTCTCAACTGAGCCATGCACAGCAATAGTCCTGATGCCTGATCCAACTGTAGTCTGATCTATTTGGTATGGATCTATATGGACATGGGGATATGCAGATCCCCACAGGCTTGAAAAGCATCCCAGCTTGAGAACCACTGATCTAAAAGATATGTGGACAATAGAGATTTACTGTGTGAAAAGTCCTTGGGCATTGTAGAAACACCTTAAATTGACACAAATATATTTTTTGATATCCTGACACTTCACTTTTGGCCTTCACTATACACCCGCCCATCAGTATGTGATCCTGGAATTCTCTCTATAACAAGTTGAGTTTTCCCTTCACATACTGGCGTTCAGCTCTTAGACAAAGCCTGCTGCTCATGGACAGTTCTTGCTGCTGACTCCGGTACTCATTAGTGGTAGGCAGAGAACAGACTATTAGAGCTAGAACTCAGGAAGGAAAGAAGGGCTCAAATAATGGGCTGGCAGCTCTGGATTCACCTTGTATGAACATAGAATCACAGGCCCTTCTTCACATACTAATCTGAATTTACAATTTAGCAAGATTCCCAGGTAGTTTGTGTGTGTGCTACAACTTGAGAAGTATTGCTTAGAGAACTGGTTCCTAACTAGACTGGAGGACTTGCCCAAGAAGCTTAACAAGCGCTAGTGCCCAGACTGTCCCCCAGACCAACTGAACTCAGGCGACTTTATCCAGGGAGCACTTGCGTGACTTGATAGTCAGTACCATCAGTTTTGCTTTCCCTCAGCAACAAATTTAGGACCTAGAAGGACTTAAATAGCCTTTAGCCTCATGTGAAAGACCACTCAAATATTCAGTCAACAAATACATATTAATAGTGACTATGTACCAAGCACTGGAGACACAAAGGCAAACAACATAGATACAACCCTTGACTTCCTTGTTCATATAATGGAGGAGACAGACTAGTGGGAGTAAATGGCAGTGCTGTCAATACTGCAAAGGAAACGTGCTATTACAGCAGGGTGTGACAGTAACAGTACACTTGTCCTGCTGGGAGACACTTCACTGGTACTACCAGGCCTTGATTTCAGATAGGCATTTCAGACCTGGTTTAGGGAATTAATAGATATATGTTAGAGGGAAAACAAAACAAAACAGCGTAAATATCTGTGGTGAATGATGGATAAATGAGATGAAGAGAGCAGTTGAAAGCTGGAGTGGTTCTGTTATTGCAAAGTACAGTTGGCCTGGGCAGGCCTTCAGTACCAGCTAAGTTAATAGTTCTGCAGTATGTCTCATCTTACATTATGGACAAATACTGGAAGTTCGTCTTGGGTGACTTCTCATCTCCCGCAGAAATTTTCTTACAAAGAATTACAGATTGTTAGTCTGGCCACCCCCTGTTTAATACGATCCCTAATGACCACAGCAGGGAAGAGTAATTAGCAAATTCCAAAATATTTCCTTCAGATCATTTCCCAGAGCTGCTTTATGTAAGCAAGAGGTCCAGTTTTCATTACAGGCTTTTACCAAATTAAAGCTATTTACATTTTACAAGTATATTTGAATTCCACATACATTGCATCTCACACCAAGACACCGTGCTCATTAGATAGCTTTGTCTCTAATCAAGGCAGAAAGCCTTGAACAAACAATTAGCCTTGAGACTGGAATTACACATTAAAATAATGAATGAATTTGTTAAAACCACAAAGAAATGCCACTGGGGCATCACTGCAATGCTACCCTGTATTAATGGTGTCAAGTCAGTTACTGCTGCAAGAAACTTGGTGCTTTGGAATTGTTGCTATCACTGTGGCCAAATGCAAAGGACTGTTTGTGGGCTAGTGTTTTTCAAACTTGCTTAAGTATGAAAATTATCTAGGGTGTTTATTAAAAATGCACATCTCTAGGCCATGCCCCAAACTGCATATAGTGAGACCGAGAAATGTAAACTTTAACAAGTAGCTCTGATGAGTCTTTTAATTGGGGAAGTTTATAAAGCCCACGACAATGATGAATGGGAGGTTTTGAAGTGGGAGTTCTGAGAGTCTAATGCAGAGCATGAAACCATCCCCCACGGTTTTTCCTTAGTCCTTAGAGCTAATGCATGCCTTCTTCTATTGGCTTCAGCATAGGGCAGAGGCAGCTCCTGTGCCTGGGCAGGGCTGTGCTTCGGAAATCCAAAATTCTGGTCCTGGATGAGGCCACGGCTGCAGTGGACCTAGAGACAGATCACCTTATCCAGACGACCATCCGAAATGAGTTCTCCCACTGCACAGTCATCACTATTGCCCACAGGCTACACACCATCATGGACAGTGACAAGTGAGTGGGGGGGCGGGCCTAACCCTAGGTCAGCAGGTACAGCATCTGCTATGAGGTGCTTCACAGCAGAAGGGTTAACACCATTGTTTTACTGCTTGAATAGAGGCCTAGCAGTTCCAATAACTTTGTTTAAAATTGTACATCAACCTAATAAGAGCTGATGTGGCCAAGGGTAAAATAAGAAATTGTCATTTCAACTGAGTATGGGACAGTGGGAGCCTAATCTACACACAGCGGATATATAGACCTTCCCAACTACCATGAGCCTCAGCTGTTCCTACTCTGGCAAGTACATTCAAAGGTCAATAACTGCAGAAAAATGTTTGGAGAGGAAGGCTCCCCTTTAAACAGAACATCTTTTTTTAAATTTTATTATTTTTATTTTATGTGTATACGTGTATTGCCTACATATAGGTAAATGCACCCATGTGGTGCAATGCCCAAGGAGGTCAGAAGAGGCTGTCAGATACCCTGGGACTGGAGTTAAGGATAGTTGTTAGCTGCCATGTGGGTGCTGGGATTCTTGTAGAACCCAGGTCGTCTACAAGAACAACCAGTGTTCTTAACCGCTGAGCCATCTCTCCAGCCCCCTAAACCGAACATCTTAAACAATGTGTACTTTGTAAGTATGTACTCCACTGCACTTGCTCCAGTTCAGGGCACACATGCAGGCCACCTTTGCTGCTGCACATAGCTGTGGCCCATTCATTTGCAGTGCTTTGTTGATCACAATGACATCACAACTTAATGCCAGGTATTCTTATAAGTGCTTAGATTTGAGATGCTAATTTCTAAGGTTTTTCTTTCCTCTTGGTTTCAGGATAATGGTCCTGGACAATGGGAAGATCGTAGAGTATGGCAGTCCTGGAGAACTGCTGTCAAACTCAGGCCCCTTTTATTTTATGGCCAAGGAAGCTGGCATTGAGAATGCAAATGTGAACACAGAACTCTAGCAGCAAGTTCCATGGGTTAGAGAAGGACTGTAAGAATCATTCATTATTTACTTTAAAAAAATAACTATATCAGGTACAATTACACACACACACACACACACACACACACTTACGTGTCTGTGTGTGTGTGTGTGTGTTTGTTTAATGTATATTTTCCACGTTACCCAGACTGACCTCAAACTCTCAGGCTCAAGCAATCATCCCATTTCAGCCTCCCCTCAAAATACACATTTTAAAGAAGAATGATATGAATGCCCGTGTACCCACTACTCTAGACTAAGAAAATGAATATTACCAGGTACCTTAGAAAATCCTCAGTTGGGCTGGGGAGATGGCTCATTCAGTAAAGCACCTGCCTTGAAAGCATGACGAGTTGAATTTGATTCCCAGAACCCATGTTAAAAAAGAACAAGCTAGGGATGGTGGTATATGTTTATGATTTATTGGGGAGGCAGAGACAGGGAGATACCTGGGGCTCCCTGGCTAGCTAGCCTAGCCTACTTGGCAAACTCCAGGCCACCAGTGAGAGACTGTCTCAAAAACAAGGTGCACAGTGCCTAAGGAATAACACCCAAGATTGACTTCTCACCTACACACACACACATACAAATATACACAAATACACACACATGTATACACATACACATATGTACCTCCTACACAAACATGCACATACACAGATAAAAGACAGAAAACCTTCAGTTGCTCTGTCTTGATCATAACTCCTTGCTACCCTCTACTCCAGACATTACTGTTACCCTAAATGTCATAATTCCTTTGCCTGCCAATTCATTTTTACCACCTTTTGTGTTTAAGCAATGTATGCCATTTTGTCTTAATGTAAATGGACTTGTATTACATGTATTCTATGACTTCATTCTTTTGTTCAATAATATACTTGAGATTAATCCACACTAATGTAAATAGTGACATTCATTCGTTTCACTGCTCTTTGTTAACACAGCATGGTGTGAACATATCACAGTTTATCCATTTAAATACTGGTAAGCATTAGGGTTATTTCCAGGGACTTTTCCTTTTCTATTATGAACATTGTTTTTATGAACATTCTGATTCACATCTCCTGGGATACATGTATTTGAATTTCTCTGGTCTAATTCTAACATTGAAGGTATAAACATGCTTACATGCACCTTTGATAGTACCAGACCAGGAGTGCCAATGTAAATATGAATGAATTAATATCACATTTAGGGTTTTAATCTGCATTTCCCTGGTGTCTGTGGAAATTTAATACCTTTTCATGTTTCTGGGACATTTGAGTTTATTGTATAGTTTTCTAAATGTTGTCATAGTTTCAATATTTGGATTTTTTCTCATCTGTTGTTTTTTATTTGTGGTTTCTTATTTCTTTGCATGTCTTCTGAATCTTTGCTATAAGCATCTCATTCCCTTAGAACTTGATCAGGAAACATTCTTCATTGAGGTTCACATTAAACTCAAGTTCTTCCTAAGAGGAATTTTGAAGGCTTTTGTCAGCCACCTGGGGCATCCCCGAGAACCTCTTTGGATTAAACTCCCCATTAAAGAGCTCAAACCAGGCAGTCAGAGCCACTTCAGACCACAATTATATACAAGAGTCAGCTTGTGATTTCTGAATTCCAGAGAAACTCTTTCCCTTGATGTAATGAGTTAGGAGACAGGCATGAGTTTTTGTTGCTGTTGTTGATTCTTGAATTCTACATGGTGAGATTTGTTCCTCATTTACCTGGATATTGCAGCCTTTGCAAGACTCGAATTTATCAAGTGAGTTTTTCTGGGTGCCTTTCTTAGCTTTTCCTCTTACCTTGGCATCCTGGATTATCAACAAAAGTAAACTTTAAGCTCTCTGGGTTTGGGAAACCTGCCTACCTTCCTCATAGTGTCATTTTTTGTGTTGGGAAATCATTGCATTCTTTGGGGGAGGGGGCATTCTTTTTGAGACAGGGTCTCCCTATAGCCCAAGCTGACCTGGAACTCGCTATGTAAACCAAGGTGGCTTTGAACTCACAGAGATCAGCCTGCCTCTGCCTCCCGAGTGCTGGGATTAAAAGTGTGCACCACCACAGCCTGCAGCATCAGACTTCTTAAAGGAAGAGTATATAGCCAAAGTAACCAACATCTCTTTCGCCCTGATAGTTACCAGTTATAGCTGTTGTCCCATCATAGCTCTCTGTTTTCCCTCTAAAACTTGTCCAAATTGGATAATAAAATTGTATAGTTCTACACATGGCTGTATGAATTTGGTATTGAATCAGGATGGATGGTGCTCAACAAAGTTGTATAGATATTGAATTGTTGGTTAAGGGAGTTATGCAAGGAGAATCCCTTCCCTGATTTTGCAAAGCAAATCTGGTACACTGTAAATATTCGATAATTGTGGGGCATTTTTCAAAGCTTATTGAATTGTTGGCTAAAGGAGTTATTCAAGGAGAATCCCTTCCCTGATTTTGCAAAGCAAATCTGGTACATTGCAAATATTCTATAATTATGGGGTATTTTTCAAAGCTAGCTTTTGAAATGCATAACCACTTACACAAAATGTAGCTTCTTTAACTTCAAATAAGTATATATTAATCTAAGAGTCCATCAATTATAAAACACCAATGTTTTATGTACCACTAAGAACTGGATTATTATAGTATGGTACTATATTGCTAAAGCTCTGTCAGAACTAAGTTGTGTCCTTTATTTCTGGTATTCACTTTTGTTTTTTTTTTTCCCTGTTTCTCCCTAATCCAATTTCATAATCACCTCCCCATCATCATTTCCCTTATCTCTCTTGCTCATCTCAATTTCTTTTTTACCACCAGATCACCATTTTTCACCACTTGTTTGACATGATCATTGGAATTTCAGATAATAGAGCGTTCTTCAAAATTTTTTTCTTTCATTATTTTCTTCTTAAACACATTCTATACACATAAACTTTCCAGTTTGTTTCTTAAAACAAGTTTCTAGTGGCTGGAGAGATTGCTCAGTGATTAAGAACACTGGCTGTTCTTGCAGAAGACCTGAGTTCGAATCCCAGCACCCACATGGCAGCTGACAACTGTCTGTAACTCCAGTCCCAGGGGATCCGACTGCCTCTTCTGTCCTCCATGGGCATTGCACACCACAGGTACACTTACCTACATGCAGGCAATACACGCAGACACATTAAAATAAAAATGATAAATAATTTTTTTTAAGTTTAAAAAAAACAAGTTTCTAGACATACAGCATTTGGAAAATCAAGAACTTTGGAAAACAGAGGAACAGTTTACACCTGCTGATGGCAAACTGCAGAAATAAAGCCTTAAGGATGAAAGTGGATGAAAGTGGAGAGCCCAAACAAAATGGTCCTGGCTGATCATTGTATCTTTATCATGAGAGAACTTTGACAACTAGGTCTATTTATTCAGCATCTACTAAATGTCTGGCATTTTAAAGTAATTTAATACAAATAAAAATATTTTTATTTAAATAAACACTATATTCTATTGTGTCCTCAGTTAATATTACTATCATAAGTTTTATTTCAGAAAATTAATTTCTGGCTGAGAACTCAACATCTCTCCAAAATGGCACCATATGCCTTCACTGATTTTTGGCTTCTTCCTGTGTCCTTGCTGATTCTTATAGGTACACGGAAGCACAATGTTTTAGAATGAAGACATGTAGAACATTATTAAGCTACTGTCTCTCACTTTCAAACCTAGCCTTCTAGACTACATACATTGTAAAGTTGGAGCTGGGAGTTGCATTGCCTCCTACTCCTGTGAGGTCCTAACATTAAGGGTGCTGGAGGAACACCTGGCACAAGGCTCCTAGAGGCAGAGCCTGGTTCCCGCAGCAATGCTTCCTCCAGCACCACAGCCACAACTTGGCTCTGACGCCAATGTTAGGATCTCAAGGACTTCACCAACAGGATCCCAAGGGCTTCTCATGCTCCTGAGAAAAGGGAACCTAGCTGATAAGCACCTTGGTCTTTGAAGTCAAGAGAAGCAGACTTTTCTCCACTGTTTGGCCAACACAGCAGGCTTCCCCTTTGATTTCTAAAGAGGAAAGGTTTTAACAGTCCTGCTTGCCCACCCCCCCCAACTTTAAAAAAAAATACATCTTCCCACCTTCTACAGGAAGCAGAAGCCTCCCTTTTAAAAACACCCCAGCTCAAGACCCGGGCAGACATTTTCCCTGCCCGGAAGGGAATCTGTCCCATGTGTTCCTTTGTCCCTATTTTGATCCTCGGTGCCTCATCATCCATTTGCTCATTCTCCGCCAACTTTTTACCTATCAGCTGCCATGGAGACTAGCAGCAATATTGACTTCAGGTTGTAGTTCTTCCACCAGTCACAAAGCTGGAGGAGCCTTTGTGTCCTTTAGAGACTCACACCAGATGACCAGCACCCCTTTCTCAGAAGCAACAGTCAAGGAACAAAACTAATTCTACTTGGGGACACTGGCACAAACAAGAAGAAGAAGAAGTGTACCAATCAGATCTAAACTTTTTGTGAGCTAATTTTGTATAAGTGCTTTTTAAAAAATATTTTTTTTTATAGTCAGGCATGGTGGCACACACCTTTAATCCCAGCACTTGTGAGGCAGAGGCAGGTGGATCTTTGTGAATTCCAAGCCAGACTGGTCTACATAGTGAGTTCCAGCCCAGCTGGGGCTACAGGGAGACCCGGTCTCAAAAAAAAAAAAAAAAAAAAAAAAAAAAAAAAAAAATTATTGGGTATCCTAGTTTGTTTCTCCATTGTTGTGACAAAACACTCTGACCAATATCAACTTGGGGAGGAAAGGGTTTATTTGGCTTACATCTCCCAGATTACAGTTCATCAGGGAGCCCAAGATAAGAACTCAGGGCAGGAACCTGGAGGCAGGAGCTGGAGCACAGGCCATGGAGGAATGCTGCTTACTGGCTTGCTCCCACAGCCCATCCTCAGACTGCTTTCTTATACCATACAGGCCTACCTGCCTAGGGGTGGCACCACCCACAGTGGGCTGGGCCCTCCCAAAGCACTCAATAATCAAGAAGATGTCCCACAGACATGGCCACAGGCCAGTCCAATGGAGGCAATTCCCCAGCTGAGGCTCCCTCAACCCAGGTATGTCAAGTTGACACTAAAGCTGTCCAGCACATTGAGTTTTTGTACATTTCATACAACAGTTCTTAATCAAATTTAGACTCCTTCCCCATCCATGCCCCATTCATGCCCCCCACTGGATCTCATGTATTCCACCATACACGTTAAGTTCCATATGGTCAAGCATTTGTACCCAGATGCCCTCGGTGCAAGTTCATCCCCTGGAGTCTAGTCAGCCTATCTAGATATAGAAAGGTCTACTCTCCACCATGCAGCAGTAATCAGTCTCCAACAGTTCCCAGGCTAGGGTTCACTGGCAGCCCATTTCCCTTGCTCCACTCTGGGCCCTTGTCTGATTTAGTTGGCACGGGTCTTGTGCTCCACACCACCATTGTCGCATGCTCAAACAAGCAAGCTGCCAGTGGCCTGAAAGCGTCTGTTTCTTTATGTTCATGGACCAACCCTGGCTCTTAGACTCTTTCTGCCCCCTCTTTTGCAATAGTCCCTGAGCCATCGGTGGATGAGTTTTAATATAGGAGTCCTATCCTAGTACACACTCGGCAGTTTCTTATTCTCTAAAACTTGGCCAGTTGTGGCCTTCTGTGTGCATCACACTCTGTTATATAAGGAAGGTTTGCTAGTGAGAGTTGAGGGATGCACTACTATTCTCTCCACCCCTTGTTCCACTATGTCTCATAAGCCCTAGGTGTAGAGGTGTGACTGTAGATATGTCACCTAGGAGTGGGTATCTCTCAGATGTATATTCTCTGTGAATGATGAGTTGTGGAACTCTGCAATAGCCTCCATCTGTTGTAAAAAGATGCTTCTTTGATGAGTAGTGTACAGTAGACTTCTCTGTAAATAAAAGGATTCATATTTAGCATATGGTAAGAAATTTCATTTGTCTAGAGATATGACAGAGTTTTCTCTAGGACCTATGACTCTCCAGCCATGTATATTTGGTTATAATTACAGTCCCACCCACGAGTTCATTCCCATTGAGAGGGCTGTAAGTCCAATTAGAGAGCTGTCGATTACCACCCAGATAAAAGTGCCACTACTGCACCAAATTGAGGTAGTTTCCTGTGCCAGTCATTATGGTTCTTCAGCTTTAGGGCTGGATTGGACCATTGATTGATTTTCTCCCTTAGCAGCTTGTATAGTATCCTCAAGAACTATGAGAGCTAGTCTTCAGGGAGAGGTTCCCATGTCAGTTCCTGCTCCATTGCTCTAAGTCTTGTGTCCTAAATATG